GTGTGAAGAACTGATTTCTGATCAGACACTGCAGAAATTAGACTTCTAAAAATAAGTTTAAAACACTAAATTAGGCTCTTATTCTTTTCAAATGAATAATAATTAATAATCTGCAGTTTGACAGTTGCAAATTGGTAAGACTTCTTGAAGTAAAAACAAACTTTTCAGATTAACAAGATTAATAATCCAACATTCTGATCTTGTTTAGTAAATCGGTCTAAAAACAAGATCAAAATAATTTTTAGCTGATATAAGACTGTAAAACTTGGTTAGAGGAACAGTTTTCTGCAGTAAAATGACTCTACTGCTCTAAAACACTAACAGGTTAAATAAGCTTCATGTTAAACCTGGTCAGGACCAGGTTAGTTTCAGAGCACTTCTTACCACAGAAACATAAGTGCTTCGTACTTCATGCTACCGATTCAAGGCTTAATTAATTCAGGTTTACACCTAAATCTTGGGTTAATCCCTTATCGTAGTTTCGTGCAATAGGTCTCTTGTGTGATTGAAACAATGTTGATCATGTTTGTTAAATAAATGGAGTTTACACCAAAGGACACCAACAAATCTGATCTCAGGTCAGAATTTTGCTGAGCAGACTCTGCAGAAGCTGATCTTCCATATAAAACATAAATAATCCATGCAAAGTTTAGAAAAAAGTTTTTTTCTTTTATTTAATCAAGAACTTAAGCATTATTTTTTAATCAGCACAAGTGAAACATGTTTTGATGCACAAAAAAACGAGGCGCAGTGAGTCAGTTTGTTTTATTAAAAGCTACAATTTTTGCTGCAAGCCGTCACTTCAGTTTTGTTTAATTTTACACTAATGAAATTGTCCCCGTTCTTTTATTTTTACACTAATCACAAAAACATCTTTTGTATTAATTTTGAATAAAAACAATTGTTTGGGGTTTCTGTCTGAGTCAGGAACATGAAAAAAATCTAAAATTAAAACACAAAAATGTGCAGTGTTGAGATATTTATGTGTGTCCTTAAGTTGTGGACGTGTTTCGCAATCATTTCTACTGTTTTACAGATGGATCCCTTCTGAAGGGGTCTGTACGAGCAGGGCTGCTGATTTTGCACAACCATAATGAGAGAGAGCATAAATACCCACTAGGTTGTTTTGCAACTGTATCAAGCTGAGATGCAGTCCACCAGTGTGTGGCATCTCTCAAAGACCTTCAGTGTACACAGAAGGAAATATTTAAATTATAAAAAATAAATTAAGTGCAAGTTCATTTATCAGAAAGACATTTTTAGACATCTACAACAACTTTTCTCTTTCTTCTTGCAGGTGGAGATGTTGGAGCATAAATATGGCGGGCGTTTCCTGACTCGGCATGCTGCACGTACCATCCAAACTGCCTTCCGCCAGTACCAGATGAACAAGAATTTTGAGCTCCTTCGAAGTTCTACGTCTGAGAGTCGTACGTCCAGACGGATTGCTCTGTCCAACAGGAGGATGAAGCTTTCCTTTGAAGGACCTGAAAAAGTCCACAGCTCTTGCTTTGAGGGAAAGCAGGTCTCACTGACAAACGGTACTGAAGCAGGCGTTCTGGTGCAGTCTGAACACGGAGGAGAGAGGTGTGTGAAGACCGAGACGCCAACAAAACAGAGCAACTTCACAGATGTCATTACAGAACTGGAAGATGCCTTCTCCAAGCAGGTCAAGTCTCTAGCTCAGTCCATAGATGATGCACTGAACTGCCGCAGTCTGCATGAAGAGGACGGTCAATCAGATCCAGGGAGAGTCCATCAGGCTGTAGACGGAGAACTGAGCACCTCAGAACACCACAAACTAGATGAGATGACAGCATCTTACAGTGATGTCACTCTTTACATCGATGAGGACGAGTTGTCCCCGCCCCTGCCTCTGTGTCACTCTGTGGGCTCCAGCACAGACCAGCGTTCCCTCAACCCTTCCCATGACTACTGGTCCCTGACTCACAGGGATGAAAAACGAGACAAGGGTACACGCTGCAGCAGTACACCTTCCTTAGAATACCAGGAGCCGTGCCTGTGTGTGGATAACCTTCCCTTACTGACCATAGAGCCTCCCAGCGACAGTTTGGTGGATCTGAACAATCGTTGGATGTGCAGCTCTTTAAAGAGACAGAATGGTCCAAGTTTGAGCAGCCAGCAGAGCAGTCCCAAACACCTCAGCCACAACCTGCTACCTCAGGAGCTTTCTGGAGAAGCAGAGGCCTCTCTGCATCATGCTCGACAGCTGGAGGCCCTCCTAGCTATTAATGGTACCGCACACCTGCTGAGCAAATCGGAGTCTAATTTTGCAGACGACGACAACGACAGTATCAACACATCAAACTCCAACGACACCATAAACGGTAGCTCTGAGTCCTCTTCCAGGGACAGCCTGAGGGAGCAAACGCTCAGCAAACAGACATACCACAAGGAAAAGTGCAACAGCTGGGACTCACTTGCATTCAGCAGTGATGTCATTCGCAAAAGACACTACCGCGTTGGTCTGAATCTCTTTAACAAGTAAGTGCACCTCTCTGGGTTCACTGTCAAGGACAGGGTTAGGGTTAGGGTTAGGGTTAGACTAGCACAATCAAAAAAGAGCTTGAACCTTATGCTGCGTTCACACCTGGAACGTCTTTCAGCTGCAGGTGGTCGATTCTGACAGCATTCACACCTGGCAGCTAATGCATACCTCAAAAACATGTTCGCAGTTGAATGCCAATTACATGTGCTGTCCAATCAGTGCCCCCCTCCCCCAGACCCCCAACCAATTTATCAAAAAAAGGGGTATCTGGACATACAAAAATGGTTATTGCTCAAAAACTATTAAACATAGGAGATTCAGATTTTTTTTTTTTGGTTGTTTAGCTCTGATGAGGGGCTATCCATCAGGTCAACCAATGCCACCCCCCCCCCCCCCCCAAAAAAAAAGACCCTCACCCGAGCCACTACAATTTTGGGATGCACTTAGTAGCATGACATTTATTAGGAATAAAGACTTCTGAGTTCTGGTGCATGTGTATGTGCGGGGGTCATTATGTTACCGCTATGCGGTGTCTAGTTATAAACAGTAAACGTTCACGTTCAAATGTTYTATAAATGAGTAATGAATGACAGATAAGATGTATCCAAGTTCTTAAAATATTTTATTTACAACAAATTAACAAGAAATCCCAGCAGTGATGCTGATTAAAACACCTTTAAACTGAGCCTGAGCCTATCTGCGCTCCACCTCAAGTTGACTCGTTTCATTTAATTAAATAAATTTGTAGATTTGGTTTATTTCTGAGCCAGTAATTAATTCAATTCAATTCAGTTTATTTATGTAGCGCCAAGTCACAACAACTGTTGTCTCAGGACACTGTACACAAAAACAAAAACAAAAACAAAAGAATAATCTAAAGAAGCCAGCAGACGGCGCAGAGTCTTTGCTTCGTCACAGTCTCCATCCTGAGCAGCACACCGGCGTCAGCGGAGAGGAAAAACTCCCGCTTAACAGGAAGAAACCTCCAGCAGAACCAGGCTCAGGACCGGCTGGGTTTGGGGACCGGAAAGAGACACAGACAAACACAGGTCCAGGTGTATTTTCCTCTGGAAGAGAGACAAAGAAAACTTGTTATTGATAGAAATAATTACAACAAACATGTAGAGGAGAGACACTAAAGATAATAGCAGAGTGAGGAAATGTCCTCAGTTTATCCAGTCATTATTATTATTAGTTATTATTAAGTTTTATTAAGTTCCTCCTGTAACCATGTTGGATCAGCATCTTCAGTCTCCCTTCTTATTCTCCATCCTGCATCTCCCTCACTCCCTGCTTTGCTAAACCCTGTCCTTTATCTGACACTTCAGGCCAGATGTTTGGTGCAGTTTTAGATTTTGTTTTCAGTACTTCATTTTGGTTTGTTTGTTTTTTGTTTTTAGGAAACCAGAAAAAGGCATCCAATTCATGTTTGAGCGAAACTTTGTTCCTGACACTCCAGTGGGAGTGGCCCACTTCCTGCTCCAAAGGAAAGGCTTGAGCAAGCAGATGGTTGGCGAGTTCCTGGGTAACAGACAGAAACAGTTCAACCGAGATGTCCTTGAGTGAGTAAATTTGTTCCACCTGCTACTTGCTATAACTGCTTATCATGTCAGGCTTCTGACTGGACTTGTGCGTTAGACTGCAGACAGAACTGTGCAGTGGCCTCCTAAAATAAAACATTATTAGCTCAGCAATGGTTGGTAGTTTGAAACTGACATTGAGCCATACTTTAGAGTTTTACAAACTTGAGTTTCATTCAGGAAATGAGTAGAAACAGGATGGTGCATGTGACAAAAGATCATTTGCCCTCCAAACTCAAATGTTATTGGTCACAGTCTTATCGTAGTTTTAATATGTTTTCAGGAGGTATTTGTGGGCCAAAATCCTACGGGTCAAGCCATAGAGGATGATTAATGTGAATCCCTGCCTTGTACAGTCATGTAAGCCAAAATATTCAGAGTTTGTACTATTTCCTCTGACAGCAGCCTGAGAGCCATGTAATATTGGATCTTTACCCATTTTTTAGCCTGGTAAAAACCAGACCCTTGTCCTTCACTTTGCTTCGTACAGAGCAGAGGTGATTTCTCTAAGACTGCAAGGGAAGCTCAGCTTCCCCTAAAATGTAAAAAAAAAAAAGATCAAATATACACTGTTGTGTGTTCATGTTATTGACTAAATATGCGCTACAACACGCTCAACTTTTGTTCAGAATCAGCTTCTTATCACTGGTAATGACGCAGCTTTCCTCATTTCCTCATTTCACTCATTCCCGCAGCTTCACAGAGCTTTAAACAGTCGGACGCTGAGCTTCCACAGAGATCATGAGTGATGCAAAGACTGCAGCTAAACGAGACGAGTCATTGGATAAATGCTGGCTTTGTCCCGCCCATCGGACGCTGAGTGTCTCTGGGGGTCTATGGGGCAGGGGGCTGGGTCGGACTCTCAGCGTCTGTTTGATGATTGGATGATCTGTCTGAGGTTGAATCCCTTTTTGACTGACAGCGAAATGAGCGAATCAGAGATCTCTTTGGTGTAAACATGCATGGGAGCAGCTTTTACTTTAGTTTCTGTTCCGAGTTGAAGCGGAGACTTTATTAATCCTTTTAGCAGCATTTTCTTTGTTAAAAATGACTAGCAACAAATCAGACTTCTATTTCTGGTGTTATTTCTGTAGCTGCTTGTGTTTGGAGACGGACTTCTATCACTCTTTCTGACGTCTATCACAGTTTCTGTGCAGCTGAGCCCCTCCTCCGTCAGGCGGACACACTTCACACTAGCCTCGCACCAGTAACAAGCTGCACATAATGGCAGACAGTTTAAATGTTGTGGAGCGGATTTTGGAGAAGCCATTTGATACAGTCTTGTTTACAAAGACAAACAGAGTTAAACAGCAGGGCTGATCAACTCCTCAGATTAATTTGGTGCAAAAGGTGGGGAAATGTAAGATAAAAAACACATTTTTATTGATCCCACAGTGGGGAAATAACAGGTCTTTTCAGCTGTCTTGGTATAACAGAGCTGGCTGCTGTAAAAGACTATAGAATAATCTGGAAAATGATTATAAAAGCATTGGATCAATTAATTCCTTCAAAAAATCATCAAAGCAAAATTGTTAAAGAAATATGAAATTGTTTAATTTGGATTTGTATGAGTCACTGTTTGAGTATAATTTTTTTGTTTTGTTTTATTATTTGGTTTATTG